TGTGGCTGCATAGTGGGATTGTTGAGAGAGGCAGCACAACACAGGAAGGTCGTTATGTGGCAAATGTCAGATCATCTATAGAGGTCTGGTCCTGATTCAGTACGGTATTCTATCTCTACGTATATTTGCTGCATACCTCATGTGCAGCTGGGGACATTGGTACCTTTGACTCCATAGTCTTGTTGTGATGGGATTTGGAGTACTCGGTAGTGGTATGTCTATTTGGGACTTTGCGGTTAGTCCTGGACATCGCCGAGGACGGTCGATGTACCCCAGGGGGGAGTAGCAATTGGTACCAGAGGACAAAAGATATGAACTTCAAATTTCAGTCATCCTCATTTTATCATGTCGGTCAGTGGTGAAGCGGATGTTGTTGATTAGTGGAGACAGGTCGTCTGGAATAGGTGGATATTGGCAGTCGCTGAGTGTAAGAGGCGACACCCCCAGTCAATAAAAATAGGGGAGCCCAGCCAGTGGCCATCTCCCGGCATTATAATAGGAGGCGCCGAAAATCGCCATTGAGCGTCCTCCCGGCGTTATAATAGGAGGCGCCGTTTTTGCCCTGAGCATCCCTCCGGGCCTACAATAGGAGGTAGACTGAGCCCATATACATTCAATGATATTGGCGATAGTGATGGACTTCCAGACAATGACCGCATCTGCAGAACCCTTTCTTGATGATGGTCAAAGGGTCAGAATTTTCTGCATCGACATTTGATGGACCTTTTTGAGGGGATCAAGGTAACGGTCGCTGATTTTGACTTGTTCTGTATCAGAATTGAGATTGATGGTTGTGGCATAAGACATATTTCATATAGTCTACATGTCAACAGCCAGGGCCATAAATTGTGGCTTGGCCGGAAAGGATACAAGTTGAGTGAGGGGAACAGTGGAAAAAGATGAACAACTCGACTGAGCAGTTCAGAGGATTATGGACATTCTTTATTTGGGGGAGTCCAGGACTGAGATGACTTAGTGGAAGGACAAGTGAAGTTCCAAAGTTGATGGCATTCTTTATCTATCCAGCCTGCAAAGGAATTCTGGTACACGCGAAAGGAGATGGAAAGAAAAAGGGAGCCCGAGACACTGGTAGTTGAAAGAGGAGCTGTGGCCTATCTATTTTTGTTTCCATGATGTTGAGATTTCGTCAGCTGAGATCAGTGGTGCAACATAAAAACGAAATTTGAAAGTTACCATATGAATGTGAATAGTTATTGGGGAATTCAGTCTTTGAAATGTGGGAGTTACATTTGGTTGCAAACAATGACATGGGATGTTGTTGCCATTCTAATCTCAAAATGAGGGAGATAGTGAAAGGGGCCTCTGAGATTCAGGATGCTTTGCAATTAGATGGTTGATGGCATAGACCATGGGCCGAGAACTTGACTAGGCTATGTGTTCAATCGACCCCGGGGAACAGTAGCACTTGCAGGCAGTCATCGTGGGGGAGCTGTAACCCGCAAGTGGTCCCCTCTATTCACGGATGAGCACATGGTATTGGGTCCTAGTCAGGGGGACAGCCGGGCATGGATATATGCCAGATTACTCTACATTGATGATTGGACTGAGATGGCCTATAAATGGTGACAGATCAGTGCAGTGCAGAGTTGAGAGGTCTTTCACTGGGATACCTTGTCATGGTGGTGACATTGTTGGAATGACTAAGGTACATGGCAGTCCCAACAAGAGGTGGGAACTTGGAGGGACTTGATTGAGGAGTGAGGAAATAGTGGATGACTTGGCAATTCCTTGGTTGGACAACTGGCTCATATGTCTACATATATACAGATTTGACTTATCAGGTTAGAGGGATGCTGGATACTCCTGGCTGACCAGCGGCAACGGGAGTTGGAGTAGGCACTCATGACTTGTTGTACTCGGACACAGGTTATATTTGTCTTTATTGCTCTTTGAAAGATAAACATGAGTGCAGATCTAGCATAGAGATTGGAAAAACCTGATTATGAGTTTTATGAGATGAGCAGTTGTTGCAATGTGCTTATGAGGTCCTGGTGGCGAGAATTTTTTTCTTGAATATTGGAACGCATCTTGGAAGTGGGGGACTCCTAGTGGCCTGTGGAGTAAGCCTGAGGTGATCAACTTTTCATAGTAGGTCAACCTTGGGTAGCCAATAGAAGACAATAACTGAGTTTATGTTTTCGAGGGCGAAAACTTGCCCCAAGGGGGGAGTAATGTTGTGTGAGCACTTGGGGGTGAGTTATATGGGTCATTATTCCTTCATTTATCTGACTTGGCCTTACAATGGATGTATGTTGTGGATTAAAGGCTGGTCGGGGCTCTGAGGTGTGTTGGTAGTACATTATAGGCTACAGTACTTTGTATTTTAATAGTGTCCCATTTCGAGGGGTAACTGGCCCTGGACGTGGCCGGTACTCATGCTCAAAGGTGGCTTCATACCACCTGCATGTTGTTACATTCTTTCGAGGCTCACTAACCGTGTCTCGGCCCCTGCGGCCGAGTTGTGCCCGTGCCGCACGGCAAGGCCGGGGCACCCCGTTTGCGAACCGCACCCCCGCACGGCAGGCCCGCCAGAGAGGCGCAACATGGGCCCACCGCGTCAAGAGGAAACGAGCGCCCCGGTTAAGCCCCGGATCCCGAAGATCTGGGAGGGCCATTCTGGCCATCGGGCGCAGCGACTCCCAAAACAGCGCCGGGACAAAGCGGGGCTGGCGGCAGCTGGCTGGCCCCGCCACATAAGTGACCAATGAGCTGCCTCAGTTAGTTACCAATTTCCAAGGGAAGACACTACTTTGAATTTTGTACGCTTAGCATGAATGTGACGTCTAGCTTAGAACCTCTCTCCCCCTCCTCCTTAGCGTCAATCCTTATTTCGATTCCAGGAGGATTCAACAACGTCAGCTAACAATTCCATACAACTTCAACAGAGTTTAAAGAGGGAAACGGCCGAATTGTGGCGATTGCAGTGGTTTCAAAATGCGATGCCAAAAGCCATAGTAAGAGATGGGAACAGCCCATAGAGCCAAAAATTTAATCCATTTGAGTGACTTCCTTGAGGATGGAAAGTTTTGAGGGAGATTTTGCAACAAGTCATGTGCTATCTAGAGGTGGCCACCCAGATCCGTTAATAGCGGACAGAGGTTAATTTCCGTTAATTTTCCGTTAATTAACGGAAAATAACAAAAAAGACAAAAATTAACCAAAAATTAACGGATTTTTGGATTTTTTGGGGATTTTTGGGTTTTATTCATACTTATAGTTTATGGAATTCGCTATTAGAGAGTACGTTTGTATTTTATTTTAACCTATGCATACTAGATTTTCAACTCGCCACAGTTGTTGTGATTTTTTGGGGTTTTTTCGATTTTTTTCGAACTTTTTTCTTTTTTTCTGAATTTTTCTCCCTTTTTCTTTTATGGAATTTAACGGACAGCTGATAAAAATTAACGAACCGGACTTAACGGATCGGATGGCATCTTTGAGTGGCCACCTCTAGTGCTATCTGCCACTGAACAGTGGCGTGTTTTGTACATCCTGCGGCGCGGCAGCAACAAGTGAGAGCGTACCGGGCGGCAGCTGAATAAGTCAGACTCCAGACCGACCCTAAGTACTACGTACTTGGGGCCACCAGCGCCGGTACTGGGGGTACCCCAGGTACCGGTGGCCACCGCCCTAGTTCCGGTCTAAGCACTCTAACCCCTACACTGTCGTAACCGTAGCCCTCTTGGGCCGGTTACTGTAGGGGGTCGCCGGTATCCCCGGGTACCGGCTAGTGCGGTACACATCCTCCCACTTTATTTTGATTTTGGTGCAATTACATAATCTTTCAGCGTTCATGGCTGGAGCCCTCCCCCCCTTAATGTGAATTTGACACTAAGTGTACCAATTCAAAACAGTATCTTCCCTTATCCGATGATGAAAATTAAATGATGAGATCTGATAATCTCATGTCAGGCCAAGCCCTCAACAATACAATTGCATGGCTGTCGTTTCTTCTTGCTGTTTGACTGGCAATTTTTCAGCTTACATAGCTTGAGGTCGGTGGCTGAACACCGATGTGCAATGAAACTCATTGAGAAAAATTAATACAGAATTGGAGTCAGATTCAAGAGATGAAAGCCTAACACGCAAAGACAGCCCCAGCTGGCATGTTGTGCATGCGGCCGATCATATGCTGGCTGACTTGTGCACTCATCGACCTGATTGAGATGGCGGGAGGACGGCTGCCCAACGATCTTCAATTTTACTTGCTCTTGATTTTGTGCTGTGAATTGGAGCTGTGGGTCGGTGCTGTGGAATAGCGAACGTGTTGCGCATGAGAGAAGAGTCAGTTGGGTTCTCCGTTCTGAGTGTGAATTGTGTTGGGCGAAAAAAGAGGCACAATCTGGTATTCAAAGAGAGACCCAGTCCTGTTCGTGGCTTCTCTTGGTTCGGTTGTAAGACAAGCTGAGTGGAGTCTTGGCTGCCTGTCGCATCAAGCACGGCGAGTGCGTGTGAGCACCGTGTGCACCAAGGTTGCCATGGAGGTACAACCAAAACGATTGACCTGTGTTGCGTTGTAGCCTATCACTGCGCGCATTCGATTGTGACGGCAGGGTCTCGAACCGGGATGGTTAAGGAACTTTGACAATGTGACATGCATGGTTGTCCCTGGAGCATTACAGTAGGGCTCCCTATACAGCGCCCCCCCGTGACATGGGCAAAAAAGGGGCGCTATGGGGGCGGGGGGCGCTGTTAGGGGGCGCTATATAGGGACCCCAACTGTACCGAAATGCAGCCACAGGCATCGGGTTCACCTGGGTCACAACCAAGCTCGATTTGCCATTGGGGCGGCCAGCGCATGAACGCGGGGAGGTCCTTAGCCGATTGCCGGAGAAAGGGAGGTTTCGGCAACAAGCTTGTTGCATCAGGGGCTGCACCCAACGAACACATGAAATTAAAAGATGAGGCCGCAGTGCAAGCGCAGGGCCCCTTTTGTCCGTCGTTTTGCGTGCTTTTGGGCGCGTTTTCTGCCATCACAGCTGTCCGCCAGCAGATTTCCGGTCGCCGCTGGAGCCCAGTCAGGGCGGTCACCTCTCCAACCGGCCGCGATCGACGCGACCCAAGCCAGGTCTGAGGCCCCCTCCGCGGCGCACCTCTGCCCCCACCCTCCGCGCAGCCAGCAAAAACCCACACAGGAGCGCTGTGCGCGGCGGATATCCGCCATGGGCGTACCGACAGCCTCCATTCCGGCGCGGGCGCCCCTGGCGCTGATGGCGAGCGGCCCTGCGGCTGGCGGGCGCACCGCTGGCGCCGTGATGAGGGTGGGTGGCGATCTGGCCGTCGCTTGACGAGCTTCAATTCTTTGCGGGCGGCGCGGGCGGCTGCGATGTGGCGGTGCCGTGACGGGCTTGTGTGGAAACGGGCTTCGTGGATGCGTGCATGCCAACTGGCGGAAGCCTCGTTGCAGTTTGGTTGTTGGCGGATGCAACATGTTTGAGGTGCTTGGAGAGGGGAGTGGGTTGGGATGGTTCCTTGCGGGAATGGGCTGAGGCGCCTGCGCTTGTTATGCATTGGCTTGACGCCCGACGGCGCTGGCCACGTCCGTGGCCGAAAGTCACTCGGGCTGGTGCCCATCTGCGCCTGCGTGCCGCAGCTCGCGCTTCCCGGAACTTCAAGCGCCAGGGTGCGGAGGGCCGTCTTCAGTTCGTGGCGCACCGTCCTGCAATTGCTGCGCCAACGGTTGGGCTCCGCCATGCGGCCGACTATGCCGCCGTGGTTGAACGCTATTTTCGCGTAGGCTGAATCTACTTCAAACAACGTGCGTCGCAACGCAGATACCAGTGGCCCTGGCCTCCGCGGCGCCTACTGGCAAAATGCCAAGTTCTTCAGCCCTGTTGGGGCGCCCGGCCGATTTCGGGCCATTGTGGCTCTGTTCCACCGCAGTTGTTGCGCGAGCAGATAGCGGGGAGGCAGGCTGATGGCAGTGGATTCTCCGGGAAACCCCTGGCGCTGACTTGTTCCCCTTGCCCTCTGTGCGCCGGGCGCTCCCGCAGCCGATCGGGAGGATCCGGCGGCTGGCGAGGGGGGCGGTTTCCGAGGACGTCAGTGCCAATGGGAGCGTGTCTGACTCGGAGCTGCAGAGCCTGAATTTTGATGAGCTCACAAACATTATCAGGTGGGGTGGGGAGCTCCCATGGGCTGCGGGGGCGGGGATCGTCGGCCAGCGTGGCTCGCCACAGTTGGTCACTCCCATCGTATGCAGACAGGGGTTTTTGTGCAACAAAAACAATTTCCCTGCCAAATGACTCACTTTTGGGAGGTGGCATTGGGCTCGATGCGGCGCAACTGATGGGTCACTGTGATAGTGCCCGCCTGTGTTTGGAGTTTTTGGAATAGAATTCGTCATATTTGACACGACAACCCTTCGCAGTAAAAAAATGTGGCGATGATGGTTGCATGGGACCACCAACCACAGTGCGGGCCCTTTTTACCGTCCGCTGCTGTGGGAAGGGAATTGTGTACCATGGGGTTCAGCAGTGTTGCATCTTTTCACTTCCTTCTCTTTGAAAACAGCCACCCCCATGCGATTTGGCCGTTAAGCATCTGTGCCAGTGGAAAGGCAATCTGCTCACATCACTGGGTATCAAATGCTGTGACAAGAAAAGCACTTACATGTTGCCGCCGCTGATTGGCACTGAAACATCCGAACCATTTTGTACAATGTCCCATATCACAGTTATGCACGCAGCAACTGGCCGAGGTGCTGCAGAGATTTCCATGACAAGCATATGGCTTTCCAGACAGAATTGCAACCTGAAGACTGACATGCAGCCAAAACAAATAGCATTGCAGGATTGCTGCTGCGCTCAACCCTTGTGGCCACCACCTGTGGTGCTGATGTCCCTGATGTGCAGCTCGTTCGATCAGCTGAAACTCAGCTTCAAGTGGCCTCATAGTGCCTGCAGATTGTGCGAGTGCCATGAATGTCCTAATTTTAAATTGTCGATGCGGATTTGTGTGACGATGTATAGGATGGTTAACGACTCGGATATTGTGGAGCTGGAGCTGAAGCGCAAGGGCTTCAATCTTTCAGTGAAAAAGAAGGAAGCGTTGGAGGAAGCTGCTGCACCTGGGATGCCGGTGGGTGCCTTGAACACACACCACACCAGTGTGCCACTTACAATCGCCTGCAATACCTGCTTTTGTTTTCAGACATTCATGTGGCATGCTGTGTGTGCTCAGATTTTGCGCAGACAAATGTAGCAAACGGAACCAAGGATCTTAATGCCAAGAAGGCCATTCATTTACGAAATTGATGGTGCTATATTTGCGAATAATCGAATTGTTGGAATCATTGAATTTTTGGGAGTTACTTTGCAAACTGGCTTGTGTGTAAGCAAGTCCAAATATTGCTTTATAGACTGCATGAAACCATGGAGCTCATGGCAGTTCTTATTTCTTTTGCCAGTAACCTTTTCATTGTTGATTTTCACAATCAATTTCCGACCCACGAGACCCTCTCTTGGCCGTGGCCCTGCTGGCCAGGCAAAAAGCATCTGGGCATATAAAACGTGCAAATATTTATTTGCAGTGTGCCGTGAATTCGCCAAAGCAAGTTCAGGAAAGTTGCCAGCAGTAGTTCCTAGAAGTGTTACTTTCTAAAAGTACATCATTGCATAGATCATTGTGAAGGACCATCTATTGTTGTCTTTCATTTCATTGTGTGCTGCATTTTGGTCTTGAGAGCAGCTGGCATACCTGCATTTGCAGATCTTAATCTTACTGAGACTTTTGAGCACAACAGTCATTCAATGTGGCTGAGATGGTTAAGCCTTGTGCTACTATTTTAGCTTCAATTTTCTCCGATCTGTGATTTGGCATCTAAATCTAGTGTCTTTTCTATGCCAACCAGAGTATTTTCGTGGTTGTGCACAAGATCGAGTGGGGTGAATTGCTTCCATACTGCCTACACAGTTGGTAGCCAGCGATGTGCAGGACGCGTATATGCGCTCCAGAGGTTTTGGCGGTGTCTGCTGCTCTTGTGTTTGTCGAAATGGTACTCAGCATCAGACTGAATAGGAATCAATTGCCTGGCTGATAAACTCCATACGTTGCCTCAAACCTCGATCTCCAGTGCTGCACAATCTACCTGGCAAACAGTCACCCCATGGTTCTCAAGCTTCTGCAGTATATAACAACCTGTTCTCAACCTTGATGTCCATTTTGCCCAGCCGTATGCCCCAGTCGCCTTGGCACCTCCCCCTGCGGTGGCTGCCCCTCCTCCAGTCGCTGCTCCGGCCCCTGCTCCGGCGCCCACTGCAACACCCCTGCAGCCCGCTGCCGCCCCGGCCTCCCAGGGCGGTCGGGAGGTCACCTCCCCCATGGCAGGCACCTTCTACCGTTCGCCGGCGCCTGGCGAGGCGGCCTTTGTGAAGGAGGGGGACAAGGTGAATTCTGGCCAGACCATCTGCATCGTCGAGGCCATGAAACTGATGAATGAGATCGAGGCGGACTGCGATGGGGAGGTGGTCAAGTTTTTGGTGGAGAATGGCAGTGCTGTCTCCCCTGGGACGCCCCTGCTGCTGCTGAAGTGAAGCAATCAGTGGTGGGTGGGCGGAGGCCACCCGGCTGCTTGTCTGAGACAAAGTGGGAAGGCAAGTGGGCCAGTGTGTGAAATCCAGAGAGCTGTGCCTGTTATGCTGGATGATGGGGCTGAGGGAGAGTGCTAGAGGAGAGAGAGGGAGAGGAAGCGATGGAACTGTAACGTGCAGCAGCTGTGCCTGCCAAAGTGCCCGTTTAGGGTTGGGCTGGTGGCAGTTCTGAAGCTGTTGAGCAGGCTCCCTGTGTTTTACAGGGACGTTTTCGTGCCCTTGATGCCCAGGCGCGGGCTGAGTGGCAGGGTCTGGGATTGGGGACCGTGCTATGTTGCCAGCACCTGTCTGGAATTTTGGGAGTCTTTGGGTGCAGTCTGAGTTGGTGGCGACCTCGGTGTCCCTGACGGGGTGCTGCGACGTTGCAGGCGACTGCCTACCTCTGTGAACCCAGTTAGCGAAATTCAGCACCGACTTTGACGAATTTCTTTGGTTGCTGTCCCCCGTTGCAAGTGGAGTTGCTGTCTGCCTCGCTTGCTGGCACAGGTTCACAGGCGTTTTGAACGTGACCATGCCAGACTGTTGTCTACAACTATGTGGAGCCCACAGACAGCAATGATATTACCAGTTGTGCCACTGCATCGAGAGAACTCTTGAGTCTCTTGGTGCAAACTCGGTCTGTGTTTGCCAGCGGTGGGAGAGGCTGAGTGTTGGGGGGGAATTGTGAGAGTCTGCTGTGTGCAAGAAAATGCCAATATTGAAAGGACGGGAACAACATTGCCACTGCAACGAACGAGCACCAGTTGGCCCACGCCAACTTTGTTTGTGTTTAAGTTTGTGTGCTGCTGTCAGGCTGTCCTTCCTCAATGTTACCACCGCGTGAGCCGCGTCTTGTCGAAGCTGGTGGTAATGTGCAATTTTGGTCTCCATTGCAGCTGCCACTTGTCCGAGTGCCTGACACCGAAAGCTGTCCGTGCTGCATAATAGGACGATGGATCACTGGCAATGCATTCCTTTTCTCACGCGGAGAATGCAACGAGCACCCTAGGCACAATACACCCGCCGAAATGGTACGCCCAGTACGAGTTGCTGTGAAGAATCACCACAGTGCTTTCCGTGCGGCTCAACACAATTCTTCTTCACTAGATTCCTTCACCACTGGACCCCTCTTGATTATGTCCAGCTGCCAAGCTCGCTTGCAGGTGAGCAGCTCGCTTCTCAGGAACAGCACCTCAATCCAGATGTTACCTGAAGAAGGTGCGAGTTGCTGCATCCGCGACACAACACTCGACTCCACAGCTTAGACGGAGTCCATTCGGCCTCAGCACACCAGCCACTCGCTCCGTGTGGCGATTTTCTGAGTACCCCGCCTGAACCATGTACCTTGAGGATTGATTGCGATATGCTAACTGAATTATAGGAAAGTCTATGCGTGTTAGAGTGTTCTGCAGTAATTGTGAAGGCTGTAGGTGGTGTCCTGCCCATATGACGATGAAGCAACCGTATCCCAGATGCGAGCTGCCATGCAAGAGTGTCCCATGAAGAAAAGTGTTGCCCAGCACCCTTGAACCGGAGGCCCTGAGGACGGAAGACGGATCCATGAACCTATGCTGGAGAAATGATGACGTGCCGCCTGTACAAGCTGCTGCCAAGTGCCAGGAGGACGAGCTGACCCCCGAGGAGAGCGGGCTCGACCTTGAATCCGAGGTGGGAAGGCTGGAGAGTGCGTCACACCGCGAGCTGCGCTCCGGCAAGGAGAGTCGGACCGAATACCTTGGGTAATTGACGAGTGTAGTAGAATTCTGAGCGCCAAAGGTGATCCCCGTAGCTTAGGCAGGGTAAGAATACCTTGGGTAAGGCAGCCGGTGACTTTGGCAGGGTAAGGGTACCATGGGTAAGGCAGCCGGTGACTTAGGCAGGGTAAGGGTACCATGGGTAAGGCAGCCGGTGACTTTGGCAGGGTAAGGGTACCATGGGTAAGGCAGCCGGTGACTTAAGGGTACCATGGGTAAGGCAGCCGGTGACTTAGGCAGGGTAAGGGTGGGTAAGGCAGCCGGTGACTTAGGACGGGTAAGGATACCATGGGTAAGGCAGCCACGGGTTAGGGACCCCGGGTAACGCACCCCGCGGCTTCCGGAGGGTAAGGATACCCTGGGTAACGCAGATTAGTACTTAGACCGGAGCGGCCAGTACCTTGAAGCGTGGGAAGTTTACCCTGGGTAAAAGGTACATTCGTACCTTGTACGGATTTGAGGGGACCTTTCAGGGAACCCTGGGTAACGGTGCCGCATCAGCGGCTTGGGTATTTAAAGACACACGGCTTCTCTTGTAACGAACAACTGCGAACCTTGGGCCCACCTCGCTGTTGTGTGTGTGTATCTTTCGGGGATTGTACCCCGCTGAGTGGAGAACATGCCGCGCTGACAGACGCCCATTGTGGGTGCACTTCGCCGTCGAGTTTAGCTCGGACGGGCGAGCGTCTCAATTCGTGCGTGACCGGCTCATTGCTGGAAGATTCGCCATTGGGACGCCATTTCTGCGGTGGTTCGTGGCTTGGTTTCGGAGCGCAGGGCGGTTTCCCGAGGCGGGACTCCGCTGGGTGCTGTGCGAACGGTAAGGAAAAGTGAAGGTAAGGAGCGATCAAAGGAATGGCGCGTGACGGAAGTCCAGTTTCCTCTGATGGCAGGGGGACCCCGGAATGGCGCGGGGACGATATTCCTGTTCTTGATGCTCCAGTGGCTCGCGATAGGGCCCCCTTGACGGTGATTGGAAGCGGCGATGCCGCCTTTGTGATTCATGATGAAAGGGAGGGACACCGCCCTCCCACAGCGAATGGGTCAGGGAGTTCCCTTCAATCTCCCCCACCAGGACGCCCGGGTGCTTACCGACGTCTTTTGGAAGAACGCGCGCGGGAGGAACGAGCCCGCGAGGAGCGCGCTGGGCGACCCCGCGCCCACTCGGCGGAAGGCCGAATGGCTATGCCATCCCCAGGCTTACTGGAACTCCAGGAGTCGAGGGAAAACGATGAGAATGAGGATCCCCGGTATGTAAGGCAGAGGCCCAATGGCCGCCCGGGGCATAGCAATGACAGGGAACCTCGAGGTAGGGAGATTTCCCAGGGAGCCCCCCCATCCAGGCGGCGGTCTCCACGGCGAGACCCGCCGGAGATGGTTCCTTCACCCTCGGAAACGAAAACAGGGCAGCGCTCCCGTTCCCGGAAGGGACGCCGAACTAAGGACCGGCGACATGCCAAGCATGACCGGTCACCTAGTAGCGACTCCAGCAGTGAGTCGGATAGCGACAGACGGAGGTCACATTCCCGTCGCCGAAAGAAACGGTCGCACAAGGTGTCGGACAGCCGTACCCCCCGACGGCACTCTTCGCCACGTAGGCGAGAAGGTACGAAAATATCTCCAAAACGGGACAGGGGGAGGGAGCGGACTCGTTCCCCAAGGAAACGGAGCCATAGCCCACGAAAACACGGTAATCGGCCACGAAGCCGATCTGGGAAATCGAGGCCCCGTTCCGCCAAACGACGGAATTCCCCGCAGAAGAAGCGTGGGCGGGACCAGCGACGGCGCAGAGAAGCATCCTCCTCTTCCGAGGAAAGCTCCAGCCGATCCAGGTCGCGTGATAGCTCCACAGACTCGAGAAGCAGCAGCTCGAGTGGGGAGGAATGTCGTGACTCTAGGCGGCGTAACCGTCCCCAGCAAGATTATGGCCGTGACAAAGACTATCGGGCTCCTCGGCTCAACAAATTCGATGGCCTGGCCCGCTCTGAGGCAGCCGGATGGCTCAGCCAACTCGTTCGGGCAGCTGATACCCAGCAATGGCCCCACAACACCCGCGTGAATCGCGCCGTTGCCCATCTAGTAGGGCGTGCTGGTCTTTGGGCAGAAGAGCTCCTCGCCAAATATGCAGAACCCCAGGAGGGTAAGGCGGACTCCTCCGAGCTTACCGTGACACGCCATCGGTTGACTTGGAAGAAGTTTCTGGCTAAGTTCCGAAAGAGGTTTCTGGGAAGTGCCCGCGAAATGCTGCGACAATTCCGAGATCGGAGAATGCGAAAGGACGAGCGGGTGCAGGACTACGCTGACGCGCTCTTCGCACTCCGACGCCGAATTCGGCAGAGCACTAAACACTCCGTGTCCAATGCTGAGTATATCGATGTGTATCTGGACGGGTTACCCCAGAACATCTCGGAATTCGTGGGCTCCCACATCGATGATGACGCTTCCCTATCCGATGTGGTGGAACGTAGCATCCGCCGAGAGGATTGGCTGCGTCGAGCCAAGGCTTACCAAAAACGAAGGAGCCGCGCCTATATGGCGGACGGGGACGACTCCGATGAAGGGTCGACAGAATCGTTGCAAAGGACGATTAAAAAGCTGGATCAGGCTTTGCGAAAGAACCTGAAAGCCCACCAGTCAGAGGGAACGGTGGAAAAGGCTCGCCGGAAGAAGCGGCTGTTCTGTAATAACTGCGGTAGTGCTGGCCACAATACACGGGACTGTGACGAAGATAGGTCCACCAGCGATGAGGCCGACGAGGCCCATTTGGCTATGACCGAAGAAAGAACGAAATCCGAGCGGAGATGTCGCTCGAAAAAGGCCAGTCAGAGGGCCCACTCGATCGGGAAGGACGTGTCAACTAGTAGCTCAGGAGACACCTCTGAATCGGACGACTCCCTCCCCTCGGAGCATCATTGCATGTGGGAACATAGGGATTACCGATTTGACCCCCCATCAGCTGACAAGTATGCAAGGGAGGAGGAAACGGATGGAAGTGACATATTGATGGCTAAGCGTACGGCCGCCGAGGAACCGAGCGCCACTAAGCGGCAGGCGGGAACTCGGCGAGATGATACACCGAAGGTCATTCCCCGCCGGACTTCCAGTCGCCTGGCCTCTAAGGCTCCACCCCCACTGGCTGATGGAATGCCAGGGACTAGCCGTGATCCATTGAACATGGGCCAGCCACCAGACACACCGAATGGGGACGAG